CTTGGTGCCCTCTGAGCAGGATTGGTGAGGAACCGGCCGCTCCCTGACGGCCCCTGGGTTCCAGCCCCCTCGGCACGTGTCCCCTGGCAGGTGACGGTATCCCTTGGACAGCAGCTCCACCTCTTGACCCCCCTTGCACACGTCCAGAGACGCCCCCTTGTAGCTCATGCCCTCCACACATTGATCTCCGTGCCTTGAGTACCCAAAATCACTGCACACATCCTCTCTGTGGGTTTACATTCTTGCTGTGTTAAACTCATAGAAAAATAAACACAAGGTAATAAGAATAGAAAAATCTCCCGAGGAAGGGCAGCAATGCTCAAAAACTTTGCAGAATAATAAAAACTTTAAAAGAAATCTTTCGTCTTATGATTTCACACTTTTTATAAATTTGCTTCAGGCAATTATATAACCTCATGGATGAAAAAGGAGGAGCAGTAACAAGCTCGCTAAAAAATCTGGGTTCAGCTGGCCTGGCTGATAGTACCCTGTAAGGGCTCCTAATCTAGGAATACAGGATGAGCAGAGTTTGTACTCCATGTTAGGAGTGGCTGCACATGGCGTCTGTTCCTCATGTCAGAGGCAGCCATTTCTTTTGGAGCTAAGTCGGCCTGCCACTGAGTAGTGCTCCCAGTCTTAATGACAAAGGCAGATGCATTCAACTTCACCCAGTCATGATCTCAAGCTTTACAAGCTTGATACCCTAATATGAGATTGAGTGGAGATAAGAAAGAAGAAGAAGATATAACCCCAAAAAGAACGTCTCTTCCCTCAGTGAATTTTCTTTTATTTATAATTTTACCAAAGGTATTTTAAATGATTAAAAAATGGTATATGGCTCAAATATAATCGTTGCAGTAGAGACAGCTTAGAAGAGGGAATTGGACTATTGGACTGGAGATAGGAAGATATTAAGAAATAAAGTGAAGCATGGTGTTAGTGGAGACCAGAAGCTGCTCAAGAACTGAGACGATGAAGATGCACCCACTGCAGACACTGAGAACTATTTCAGAAAAGAAAAACATAGCAATAGAACCCTAAGCTGCCTTCCATAGAAAATGCAGGGCATATAACAAAACCAGTCCAATACAATAGTAGTAGAGATTAATTTGGCGAAACCGCTGGGAGGGTTCACTACTGATGAGCCAAGCCCTCTCATTCAATAACTCATATCATTGCAGTAAGGTCTGTAGAGATAATATTTGATGATATTTAAAAGAAACGCATTGCCAGTAAATTTATTTGTGTAAAATTTTAACGATAGATGGTAATAAAATTAAATTTACTAATAGAACTCTATAATTTCTACAGATCAATTGTAAATAGATTCATACACAAAAGAGGTAGTGAGGAAAGTTTTAGAACAGATGTGTAAATAAATCCCTTTTCAAACAAAGACTCACGTGCACATGGGGGAAGGGAGAAGAATTACTGTATTGTTTTGTTGTTGTGTGGCAAAACCATACAGGGCAATGGGCCCTAATAAAAGCCTTTTTGTTGTTGATGAAGATGCAGGATAGTATTCAAGGCCAGTCCAGCAGACCTACCATTCAAAGTCCTCCCGGGTACACGGACAATCCTCCACAATGATCTGGACTTTATACGTGGGGTCCAGGTAACACCTGTGTAGTCACCACACAGTTGACATTGATGTCTCAGCACGGAGCAACGGACAAACTCACCAGGAACTCTTCTTCACCTTGTTGAAGGTCAGTCTGCGGCCGAGCACACAACCCCCGGTGCTCTGGTGGGCGGCAAATGGTTCAAAGTCTACTGTGGGTTGACCTGTGGACATGGAGACAACAGTTATCTCTGGGTTCAGCCAGTCTTCTGGAGCAAAGTTTATAACATACATGCATGTACAGCTGAGGAAGCCACTCAGGTTCCTATCTGTTCTTAGTGGGCATTCCCCCTCTTATTTTTTCTATAAAAAAGTGAATAATAAGGCACAATTTGGATCATTGATGAGAACCACAAGGTAATATGAGACCAAATGGTTTTATATTACCTTGTAGTTATAAAAAAATTATAAAAATATATATTATAATTCGTGGATGGCTTTTCTTGATTTATCAAGAAATTGGGTTGGTCAAATATCACGGAGCAAGCTAAATAAATGTTTAGTTTATTTTTGCTCCACTAGATGGCGCTCTGCCATCTAAAACGCACATGTGCTCATGGTCAGGAGATGCCTTTTTTATTTTTAATATTATGATTCATCTGGCTTATTGAGAAGATTTCAAAAGTCTCAAGCTTTACAAGCTTGATACCTTAATATGATTGAGTGGAGATAAGAAAGAAGAAGAGAATTGAGAAGATTGGATGTAAAGAAAAAAAATAATGTAAAAAAAAAATAATAAGGGAGATGAATAGGAAATAAATAAAGTGGCCTTTGTCTGGGTGTGAAGTGACAGAGGCTGACAGCTCTAATCTGATACAGAAACTTAAAGACATAAGGTTCGCATTGCTGAACTCGAATCCAACCTTCTTCCACTGCACCTAAGGAGAAAAATCTGCTTTTCAAAATTTATAACCAAAAAGATTACTTCTCCAAAAGAACATTTTACAGGAAAATTTATTAGAAAATGGGTCCCAAAACAAAGACTAAAACACTCCACTCCTCTCAACCTGGCTCACAACTCTAATCTTTTAGACATCCCAATTAATCCCAAACCCAGAACTTCCTATCCCCCACACAAAACTCGCAAAAAACTCACCTGTTTCCCTCATCTACCAGACAATCCCCACAAACATGAAACTCAGCCAAAATTACTTAAAGCTCTTGGCCTCCAAATCATTTAGGAAAATAGCTCCCTCTTCGACATCACAATTTACACTGATGGTAGCCAACTTGAAACTGGATTGTCTGGCAATGGAATTGCTATCTACAAAGATAAGATCCTGGAAAAAATCTCCCTCTCCCACCCTAGACACCTTTCAGTTTATAAATCGGAACTCTCTGAAATAGATATGGTTCTAAAAGACATCAACATCAACTCACCAAGCAAAATAATAATCTACTCCGACTCAAGAGCAGCCATTTATACCATTCAAAGCTGCTTCTCCAGTCAAGAACCCCTCCTCAAGAGCATTGTTAAGTCTGTAAACCGACTCCCAGCCAACAGCTCAGTCACAGTGCAATGGCTTCCAGCTCACGTTGGAATTCCTGGTAATGAGCTGGCAGACTCTCTGGCAAAGGCTGGAGCTCTTGGCCTACCCTTTTTTTTTTTTTTGCTTATCCCTAGTACACGTGGTACAGGCCATGATAATCATGGTGGGTAGTTAGCGACTGCTTTTTACTGTAAGCGCACCACATGTCTACACATGTGAAAGCAGTTCGACTTTGCACTTACAAATGTGCCAGAGCCCCGTTTGGTTACTTGCACTCGCTGGTGGGGTTGGACTTTTGCAAGAATCGGGGGGCCATTGGAGCATTTTTTTTTTAAACAGAAAAAAGTGTCCAATGCGGGGATCGAACCCGGGTCGTAGTGGTCGTAAACCAAACGGTTTAACCAGCTTTCCACCGACCCCCCTTGGCCTACCTGAAGCAAGAGAATCTACCACCCAACTAGACGAAAGAGACCTCCTCCGTACCATCAAAACCCAATGCCTGCAGGAATGGCATTCTAATGCTGCACATGACTGGTACAGAGCAGGAGGGACAAGCACCGGTTCTGTCCTCCCAAGAGAACAACAGTCTTTCATTTCCAGACATAAGTCTGGTCATCTACGGACAATGACTTTCCAGAATGGTTGCAAAATTTTCCCACTATGTACTAAGTGTTAACCTGCAACCCCAAAATAACATTATTGACTGTATTGACTCATCCATTGATGAGCTCTATTCTTCCCCAGCAGACACCATCAAAAGTCTCAAGCTTTACAAGCTTGACACCCTGATATGATTGAGTGGAGATAAGAAAGAAGAAGAAGAAGACATAAGGGACCTACACTCATGAGACAGCAGCTTAAGGAAGTCCACCATCACCAGCTCCCATCCAGTTTCAGGATGGTGGAACACCAGGGCCACATTCAGGGTGCTAGATACAGGGTTTGAAGACACCATCGCCACGCGACCGATGGTGGTTGGAACGGGGAAGCAAAGCCAGGAGGCCCCTTCATCCACTGACACCCTGCACAGCAAGTGTGTTACTGACATTGCTTGCACCATCCAAAAATATCAGAATGAATATCAACTAGTTAATAATTTGTTTAAAGTAAAGGATTATATATATAATACAATATAATGCGGCTTATGATTGTAAAACGACATTTGAAAATTATTCCGTATGTGTTTCTTTTTAAACGAAAAATCGAAATTTATTTTTAAGGAGTAATAACGATTATTTCTAACCTTAGGGATGAGGTATGAAAGGATGAATTGTGAAGAGTAATGATAAACGGAATATGTCCAGGGTAGCCTAGTGGACATGGCATCTGCCCGGTAAGCGGAACACTGTGGGTTCGATTCCCATCCCTCGACATTATTTTTCTGTTTATCATTACTCTTCACAATTCATCCTTTCATACCTCATTCCTAAGGTTAGAAATAATCATTATTTCTCCTTAAAATAAATTTTGATTTTTCGTTCTAAAGAAACACATGCGGGATAATTTTCAAATGTCGTTTTACAAAGGATTATATCTCTATATAGCCAGTAGAAAGAAACATGTGGGTCACAAAGAGTTTAAATTTCTTATAAAAGATGGTGCTCTAATGCATCATGTAAAGATAGTTTATAGAACGACGTTTAACAAGTTTCACCGCAAATGTTTCTTTTTACAGAACGAAAAATCGTAATTTAAGGAGAAATAACGACTATTCCTATCCTTAGGGATGAAGTATGAAAGGATGAATTGTGAAGAGTAATGATGAACGGAAAAATAAAAGTGTCCAGGGATGGGAATTTTATTTTTCTGTTCAATCATTACTCTTCACAATTCATCCTTTCATACTTCACCCATAAGGATTGGAATAGTCGTTATTTCTCCTTAAAATAATTAAACAACAACAGCAACAAAAGGTTTTTATTAGGGCCCATTGCCCTGTATGGATTTGCCATACAACAACAAAATAATACAGTAATTTTTCCTCCCTTCCCCCATGTGCACGTGAGTCTTTGTATGAAAAGGGATTTTATTTACACATCTGTTCTAAAACTTTCCTCACTACCTCTTTTGTGTGTGAATCTATTTACAATTGATCTGTAGAAATTATAGAGTTCTATTGCTATATTTTTCTTTTCTGAAATAGTTCTCAGCGTCTTCAGTGGGTTGCTAAATCTCCAGAAGGTGTTTTTAAGAGTTTTTTTTCTCTTTCTTCACCTAAATATTTGCAAATAATTAAAATTACGATTTTTCATTCTGTAAAAAGAAACATTTGCGGTAAAACTTGTTAAACGTCGTTCTATAATCATAGCCACATCATATTGTATTATGGTGGTGTAGCAGAATTCATTGGAGTATTTAGTTGTCTGTTGATGGGAGATCTGATGTAGGTAGTTAACATTTAGCTGGACATAGTGTCTTGGGTACCAGGAGACATACTTCATCTGTCCAGGGTCACCTCCCTGCCACTTTGAGGCAGTTAACAGGTCTTGGGGATTATATACATACAGTTAAACCTGTCTATAGCGCCCCCTCTTGAGACTCACCAAAATAGGGTTCTATAGAGAGGGGGTGCTATAGACAGGTCACTTTTAATGTAAATCGCTTCGTACTACCTCTTCTCAAGAGCATTGCTAAGTCTGTAAACTGACTCCCAGCCAACAGCTCAGTCACAGTGCAATGGCTTCCAGCTCACGTTGGAATTCCTGGAAATGAGCTGGCAGACTCTCTGGCAAAGTCTGGTGCTCTTGGCCTACCTGAGGCCAGAGAATCTACCACCCAACTAAACAAAAGAGACCTCCTCCGTACCATCAAAACCCAATGCCTGCAGGAATGGCATTCTAATTCTGCACATGACTGGTATAGAGCAGGAGGGACAAGAGCGCTATAGAGAGGGAGGCGCTATAGACAGGTTAAACTGTATATTGTATTATAAAGATAGTTTGTAGCTCTGTCAGGATGTGTGACAATCGTTAAGTATAGTTAATCCAATAGTATCATGTACAGACTTTCCATGGGTAGCATAGCCATCTGTGGAGTTGAAGGCCACCAGGAGTCGCCCGTGGTTCAGTATGGCATAACGTTGTGGACCCTTCAAGCTCTGAAACCACGGCACATCTTGGCATACTAAATAATTGAAACAGGTTTATGGAGAGATGAGTTTCATTTTATTATTGCATTCTCAATCTTTGCGGCATTTATCTGCCCATCTACAGGAATACAAAATGAAAAAATAATGAACGGCATTTTTATCCAATGCTACAACAGGCTTGATACCCTAATATGATTATATGGAGATAAGAATCTTCTTCTTCTTCTTCTTTCTTATCTCCACTCAATCATATTAGGGTGTCAAGCTTGTTGATGGTGTCTGTTGACAACCATCATGACTGGGTGAAGTAGAATGCGTCTGCCTTTGTCATTAAGACTGGGAGCACTACTCAGTGGCAGGCCGACTTAGCTCTAAAATAAATGGCTGCTTCTGACATGAGGAACAGACGCCATGTGCAGCCGCTCCTAACATGAGTACAAACGCTGCTCATCCTGTATCCCTGGATTAGGAGCCTTTACAGGGTACTATCAGCATGGCCAGCTGAGCCCAGGTTTTTTAGTGAGCTTGTTACTGCTCCCCCTCCTCCTTTTTCATCCGGTCTTGGGACCGGCAAAGGCGGAGTTGGAGATAAGAATATGAAACAGAAGAATAAAACACTGGCTATCTCCATGTCTAAAAGTTCACTCTTCTCTAGCTTTGAATGGTAGTTATGGCCCCTCTGTGGTTAAATCTGACAGAATATGATCTGGGGAGGTTTCTATGGCATTGTACTTTGTGCATGTTTTATAAGTTTTTTGTCCATTTTCGAGTTTTTTTAGGTTCTAATATGGGTTCTACTAGAATTTCTGGGGGAGGGGAGAAGTCCGACCACACCTCCCTGCAGTCCCCCTTGGACCCTTGGAATATTCGACCAAATTCTGGTTCGTTTGCAAGGTGACTAACGTGGCAACGGCACCCATTTTCCAACCCAAGATAGTGGATATTGCTGCTGCTGTGATGGAGATGCATGGAGACATCTGAGACTCTTCTTTGGACACGACGACAACAACAACTAGAATTTCTCTGAGAGCTGCTTCAGTATCTTTTTAAAAAATTAATTATCCCATGGGTAAAATTACACCAGGTCATGAAGGTTGAAAGCAATAATTTTTTTCTACTATAAACACAAGGTAATAAGACCAAATCCAAATAAATAAATAGTGTGTGACATTTCAGTAACAGCGTTGTTACCATCTTCAGACAAAAGTACTGAATGTACTATACATTCCGCCCTTCTACCGAACTACAAAATGAAAAATAATGAACGGCGTTTTTTTCCAATGCTCCACAAGCTTGATACCCTAATATGATTGAGTGGAGATAAGAAATAAACAGAAGAATAAAATATAAAATGTTACTGAAACGTCACACACTATTTATTTATTTGGATTTGGTCTTATTACCTTGTGTTTATAATCTATAATCCAAATTGTACCTTATCATTTTTTTACTATAGTTTTGGGGTACTTGTATAGGTCTTCCTTCTTAGCTCCAATACAGTCCATGTGCTGGAGTTGCAGTGGAGTTGGAGCATTTTGAGCAGACAACTTTTTCTCCATCAATGAACATAATAGGTCTATAGACAGCTTCAAACAACACTAACAAGATTTAGAACAGGTTATCTCAAAGCCATTGAAGATAGAAAATAATAACAAAATCTACCCCACTTGCCCAAAATGTAGCTTGGCACCTGCAGCTCCAGAACACATTTTGGCTTGCTTTAGATGCACTAAACAGGACCTTTGGGAGAAGCAGCTGCTTATCATAAAACAGCTCGAGGAGCATGAACTCATGGAATTTGTGTAACCTTTACACAAGGGGATAAGAAACAACAACAACATAATGGATCTAGTATGTCTGGTCTTTAATCTTGAGAAAACAGAAGTAGGGAGAGATACACAGAGTTAAGACAGCCTAGAGTGGAATATAGAATATAGAGACTGACCTTTCTCCAGGAGTAGCCTCCGTCGCTGGAGACCAGGACCCAGGTCTGGTTGTCAGTCTGATGGGGGGAGCTGGGATGGGCTGCCAACATATCGCTCTAGTTGGCCACTGATTCATTGGAAGTCCATATAACACACCAAATATACACTCATGGACACAACTTAAGGAAGTTGTACCTTTTAGCATGTATATCGGGATTCAGACAATAACTCTGAAAGATATTACAGTGACCTTTATTGAAGACATACGAGATAACCAATATACACTCATGGAGAAAAAACTTAAGGAAGTTGTACCTTTTAGCATGTATATCGGGATTGAGACAATAACTCTGAAATATATTACAGTGACCTTTATTGAAGACACACGAGATAACCAATATACACTCACTAGCCGAATGACCCGGGCAACGCCCGTGTTTTACCCGATTGAATGTTTTGATTCAAATACTATTTGTTACAATTATAAATTGGCGCCTTAAATATATCCCTAATGATAATAGTACTTACATATGTACATAAGTATGTGTATATATATACACCTTAATAGTACAAAAGCTACATACCTATACTTTCGATATTTGCGGACCTATAATGAGGTATTGTTAACAATAGTTACAAAAACAACAACTTATTTAAGGAGCGACCCGCTCCAACACAATAGTTACAAAAACAACAAAGCGAGTGGGGGGGGCAAAGGTGGCGTGATCGTAGCCAACCAATAGGAGAGCGCCATTCAAAAAAAAAGCAAACGGTGACAGAGATGAAAAAGAATTGATGACGCTCGTAACTGTATATAGAATGGAGAAAAAACTTAAGGAAATTGTACCTTTTATCATATATATCAGGATTCAGACAATAACTCTGAAAGATATTACACTGACCTTTATTGAAGACACACGAGATAACCAAATGTGAACAAAACTCTGTTTCAATCTCCCTCCCTTTCTAAAGAATGTGGAAAGTATGATGTCGCTGGTCATCTAATATTTTTAAGGAGACAGAGGCAATTTTGTTTACAATTGGTTATCTCGTGTGTCTTCAATAAAAGTCACTGTGTATCAAATCATCTGAATCCCGATATACATGCTAAAAGGTACAACTTCCTTAAGTTTTGTCCATGAGTGTATATTGGTTATCTCGTGTGTCTTCAATAAAAGTCACTGTGTATCAAATCATCTGAATCTCGATATACATGCTAAAAGGTACAACTTCCTTAAGTTTTGTCCATGAGTGTATATTGGTTATCTCGTGTGTCTTCAATAAAAGTCACTGTGTATCAAATCATCTGAATCCCGATATACATGCTAAAAGGTACAACTTCCTTAATTTTGTCCATGAG